CCCCTGAAGTCAGGAAGACCTGAGTTCAAATCCAGCCTCGGACACATAATAGTCACTAGTTGTGTGACTGTGGGCAAGTCACTTAACCCAACTGCTGCATCAAAAAAAAAAATCAACAAATAAAGTTCACTAAGCACTGGCGGCCCAGTGGATAGAGCACTGGCCTTGGAATCAGAAGGACCTGAGTTCAAATTCCACCTCAGACATTTAACACTTAGTAGCTGTGTGACCCTGGGCAAGTTATTTAACCCCATTGCCTAGCAAAGAGAAATAAACAAAGAAACAAAAAAAGACTTGGAAAATGCATAGCTTTTCTAGGTTAACCTTTTCCTGGGTAAAGGGGGATTTTAATATTCCCATCTAGTTGCCTCAGAGAAATTTGTTGGCATTTAAGGAAAATAATTAGGCAGAAATTTGAGTACTCTGTCAGTGCTTCCTCTGGAGAAGGTGGGAAACCTTTCTCTTCAGTGTTTGAAGGAAAGACAGCAAAATGTACAATATGTGAGCTTGGAATTTCATTGCTGCTGATTTTCTTGAAGATGCAGAATGATGGAACTCTGCTCCCTGAGCAAGTTTAGGTGAGACCCAGAGGTTGGCAGCAGTTTAAAAAAATTGAAAAGGTAATACCAAAACCCTTATGAGGAGTCCTTCCTTTTTCTCAAACTGCATCAAAAAAGTTACAACTAGGAGAATGTGTCCTTTCAGCCATGAAAAGCCCTGGAGGCTTTCTTTTTCTTTAGTAATAGAGACTGAATAAGACTGTCTGTGGCAGAGGGTCTATCCATGACTCAGGTTTTTGTTGTTTGTCCTTTGTTCTCGAAGAGGAAGGAGATGTCATGACTTGCAAGTGAATTGGATTTAAGTGAGAGAGGGCTGTGCAAAGTCACCAGCCTCACTCTCTCCTCCAGAGCCATCTGGGTCCACTGGCCACATATAGATACCAGATGCCAGTTGCTTGAAGGAACAAGGATCTACAAGAGGAACTTATGAAAAGCTGCAGGACGACTTACGGTAGAAAGCAGTACCTGATGCTACCTAGAACTACCACAGGAAGTGATGGGGTTGAGATCTGGACCCCAGAAAAGAAAAACCCTAGACTTTCCCACATGGCCAAATCTCTGGATTTCGCCTGAGGCTATAATCCCATCAACTGGCCTTTCATTATCGCCTATGCCCAATCTCCCAATTCTATTACCTAGCCCTCCCTAGTTTATTACCTCCAGATGGCCCCACCACTTCCTACCATTAATTCTATCTAGCCTCCAATCTCCCTTGGCCATGTGGTCCAGGTCCCAGGCGTTCTGTTTACCCCAGTTTACTGGCCACTCCCATCCAAATCTTCCTGCCCTTCCTCTTCCACTCACCCCAAACTACTTGGCCACTCCTAGATCCCTCCCGCAGCCTTTTTGTATATAAGGGTCATCTTGTCTCCATTAAAGTGCTCAGATTCTTAAAATCTAGCCACTGCTCAGATTTTTACAATGTGGCCAATGGCTTAGTAATGTTCAGATTCCTTAGGAGTCTGGCCAATATGGCGGATGTTCTAATAAACTTTGTCTTTGGCTGAAAGAAGGGTTGGGTTGAATTCCTTTGGGCAGGACCTGCATATTGTGATATTGAGGTCCCGGGACCCTTGAACTCCTAAACTGCAACAGAAGCATGCAACAGCAATGCCTTACTCTGCCTCGTAGATGAGTCATACCTGATGATACTAGCTGGGAGCCTCTGGGGCAGAACTTTCTATTTGTTACTATAGGTGACTGAGACTATTCAAAAGACTTTGGGTGATGGTTTCTCACTGGAAGGTGTCTGTTATATTCCAAGAGTTCTATTTCATTATCTTCCCACCTTTCTATACACTTTCTCATTTTTAATTTTATGACTTGTGTGTTTGTAAGTAGAGAGATAGTCTCAGTATCCTGAGCAAAGAAGGGGAGTGATATCACACAGAAAATACCAGGTTTTCTGCATGGCGCTAAGAGTCAAAAGAATAATCCAAGTCCCCAAAGGGTCCTCTGGCCCTCTTTGTCATAAGGCCTTTTTTAACATAAGGGTCACACATATTTCTTGTTTCAAAATACAAATACCACTAAGATGGCTAACAAATTAAAATATCACCAGTCATCTTAATATGAAATAATTCAATCATTTCATTGAAGGAATTGGGAGTTTTGAGGGTGAGAGAGACACAAATGCATAAGATTTAGAGACAGAATCATAGTCTGAGATGGAGACAGTGCAGGACTTAGAAGTCTCTATTTATATCCAGCCTCTGAAGTCTTATTGACTGTGTGACCATATGCAAGTCATTTATCTGTTCTAAGCTTGTTTTCTTATTTATAAAATGGTTAAAATAACTGTAGTGTCTATCTCACAGGACTGTTGTGTCTCAAATGAGATAATTTACTTCGTAAAGCACTTTGTAAACTTTAAAGCACTATATATGTTATTAACAACTAATCAAAACATTTACAAACGAGGAAACTGAAGCCTCGCGGTATAGTGTTTTGCCTACAATCGCCCAGATAATAAAGAACAGAGCTGATATTTGAACACATGCCTTCTAACTCCAAATGCTGTGCTCTTGCATTATATTTCAGATGGCTCAGCATCTCAAATATGCTGCTCTCTGGAAGGAAAGGCCTGAGTGAGGACTGGGTGGAGGCAAAATCCAGATAGCCAGACAGTAGAGAAGGAGATACATAATGGGTTGAGAAAAGAGTTTAGGAAAATGGGCAGGCAACTCTCTTAGGGCCCCATCTTATATTTGAATGTGTGGTTATGATCACTGTTTGTCACCCTACTGTGTTTAGTTGAGCTTCTTCTTCAACTAATCAGTGAGAAGTAGCTGTGAGGCATAATGGGTCAACTGAGCTTGGGGTTAGAAGACCCAGGTTTTACATCTTGCCTCGAATACTTATTCTGAGTGGTCACTTCTCTGAAATTCACCTATCCCCTTTTATAAAATGCCAACAGTGACACACTACCTATCTGGGCTGCTTCGAGGAAAATGCTTTGTAAACCCTCAAGGCACTGTATAAGTAAAAGCCAACCCAAGTCTGGGAAAGGAAACTATCTGCTTTGGTTCCTTCAAGACTGCTCAAATCCCAGCTTCTTCTGCAAGAGGCTTTTCTTAGTTCTTCCACCCCAAGGCTAGTGTCCGCCATGCAGATTAACTCCAACTTATCTTGTATATAACTAGTACAAATATAGTTATTTACCCTTAGTCTCCTTCATGAAAATGTGAGTTTCCTCAGGGTAAGGGCTGTTTTTGTTTTTAAATTTTATTAATTTATTTTGATTTATCAATAATCACTTCCATATGTAAGGGCTGTTTTTTGCCCTTCTTTGCATCCCCAGCTATAACCACAGTGCTTACCTTATTTTTGTTGTTGCTCAGTCATTTTCAGTCATGGCTGACTCTTCACGACCCCATTTGGGGTTTTCTTGGCAGAGGCACTGGAGTGGTTTGCCATTTCCTTCTCCAGCTCATTTTACAGATAAGGAAACTAGGCAGAGTTTAAGTGACCTGCCCAGGGTCACACAGCTAGTGTCTGAAGTCAAATTTGAACTCAGATCTTCCTGACTTCAGGCCTGGCACTCTATCCTCTTTGCCACTTGGCTGCCCAATATAGTAGTGCTTAATAAATGCTTGTTGACTGTTTCCCAAAGCAAAATGAACTGAATTGGCACGTTCTAGTAAGGTTCCTTTTCTTTTTTCTGCTTGTTAACAACTAGCTAGTAAAAGATATATTAATGCTACTACCTTTGAAGATTCCCTTCTCATCTAGGAAGTTGAAATAATTTCTTTCTTTAGCAGATTGGTAAAAGAATGTGGGCCCATCTAAATGAAGGCCTTGAGCAGGAATTTAAATTCCTGGATCATAATTTGAACTTCTCTTTTTTTCTTCCTCAACATTTAAATTTTATAAATTAGTTAATTGGAGATTTTGTAATAATTAAGTTGGCAGCCAGTTTAAAAAAGACCAAGAGTTATTATTATTGATCAAAATCATGCACTTTTAGGAATGGAAGCAGTATTCGAGATACTTTATGGAAAATAAAACTGAACCATAGGGAGTTGAAGTAACTTACTAAAGGTCACCAAACTAGAGAAGTATTGTCTGTGAGAGCTATTGAGAACGTGTGTCACCTCAGTGGATATAGGGCTGACCCTGGAATTAGGATGATCTGGGTTACTTTGTCAGAATGACTTCTCTCTGAGGAGCTAACCAGAATCCTGGGCAATCTCCACCCCCAAACTCTCTCTGCTCCAGTGATCAGAACCTTTTGTTTCTAACCTAGGGCTTCTTCTGGCCTTGAGCCTCTTTTTGCCTTTGACTATGTCTGACACTAGGTACTTAGGTGGACCCTTGCCTTGCCTACCCACAACTACCCTTTATAGCCAGTCACCTGACCACCTTGATCTTGAAGACAGTTGCTCTTGGGGGACCTCTCTGCATGGTGGTTTATCTCCCTGACAGGTTGCTGACAGAACACACAACTACTTATAAATATTGCAAATTAATATACATACATATGACATCCACAAAAGGACATACAGGGTAGCCTTTGGTACAAGAACCACAGGATTTTTGAAAATGGGCACACAGTGTGAGAAGAGCTTAGAATCCAAGAAACATTTTAATTTCATTTCCTGTTTGAAGACAGGAAGAGTGTGGTACATAAATCAATATACATTTATACACATATCCAAAAGGTCAGAAAAGGCATCCTCAAGATAAGAACCACAGAATTTTAGAAAATGAGCAAACAGGGTGAGAAGAAGTTAGAATTCCTAAGAAAAAATTTAATTCCTTTTTCTGTTTGAAGACAGGAAGAGTGAACTACTTGAATATCCACTCTTATATACACATATGCATTTATATATATATATATGATATATATATATATATATATATATATATATATATGTATATATATATATATATATATATATATATATATATATATATATATATATATATATATATATATATATATATATATATATATGTATGTATGTATGTATTTAAAAAAGAGAGAGGGTAAGCCCAGGCAGAAAAGCCATGGAATTTTATAAAATGGGTGAAAAAGGTGAGACAGGTTAGCATTTTGGAGAAAATATTTAATTCTACTTCCTGTTTGAAGACAGGAAGAGTAAGCTTCATGAGGAAGCCCAGGATGAACTTTGCACCCCAATGCTCAGTAGTCTAATAACTGTAAACTACAAAACACATTTTTCCTTAAAAACACACACATACACTAAAAGTTTTGAAAAGTACATTTTCATTCATATCTGAACTTTGAGGTCAAATTAACAACTAACCTTTGTTATCATTCATTAAAAAAGAGTGTTCTAAAGTTTTAATGAATTTCAGTTTGAGCTGTGCTTTGAAGTTTTGATACCACGCAAGCAGTATTTTTCTTCTTTCAATCTTTTCTTGTAAGCTCATATTTTCCTCTTTTTTTAAAATAGCAGGAAGCTCTTTCCAGTCTTTAATGAAGATAAAGGGGGCCCCCATAGCCTTAAGAAGCTGCAGTGGAGTGCTAGGAGATGTGGATGCATTCCCACAATTGCCTGGTGTCATTACATCTTCTACAACAGGAATGGAGCCATAGGAACAAGCCTCATAAATTCGGTAACATTCTGTGTTTACTCCTACAGGGCACAACGTGAGATCACTCTGAAGTAAAGCATCTTGATAGTTCTTCAAACTTTCAGTTGTTTCTTGAGGCTTCCACCTAGAAAATAAGAAAAGGAATGTGAATTCTCACTCCATACTAATTCTATTCTTCAGAAGAAAAGATTATATCTTAATATCAAGAACTACAAATGGTTAAAAAAGAATATGTTGGTAAATAAGAAAATAAAAATCTTATCTAAAAAGAAATAAAAGCACTGTGACTTGCTGATGTTTAAGTCCATAATAAAAAAGTAAAATTTTGAGACTATCACTACAGATATTATAATTACCAATCTTTTTATCCAATAGCTTTTTTAAAACTCTTATGGCTAATATTTAAATATATTTTTCATATTTTTCCCTCATGAATGATTCAAAGAGTACTGTACTATTCATATATAATACTAAATTTACTTTAAAAGCTGAACTGGGAATAGACTTTGATAGTCTGGAACAAAATATCTACTAAAATAATTTTAATTAAAACTTCCTGAAGGTCTGGAATCAAGAGTACAATAATAAATTTTTTTCTAGCTAAATTTTACTGAAGGATTTTTTTTTAAAAGAAGAGAATCAGACAATTCAACTCCAATTTCCTACAAAAACAAATTTTAAAAAATGATTCTAAAATTTTTGAAATGAGAATCTTACATTGATATTCATGGACTGTTCTAGGTTTTTCCTCCTTAAAATATTTATTCACATATTGCCATGCAAAAAATATGAGATGGTCCACAATTCTTGGAATCATTATAATACCATTTATTTGACACTTAGGATGTGTTAAATGAAGCAACCAGAAGTTTGGTCTATCAGTTTTTCTTTCCTCCTATGTTTGCTAATTGCTGCTATCCTTCATTTCCCAATTACAAGGTACTGGGGGCACTGAGTTCACAGAAGCTGTGAGGGAACTGATGTAGTGTCAGCTACAGAATCCTGAAATAGCATGATGAATGCCAATGAGATGAACACCATATATTCCTGGCATTCACCACATCTCAAGGATGTCAAATTAACCTAGAAAATGCCACTGAGCCAAGCTCTGGGAAATGGTTTTGCCTTTGACTGCCAGTATTATTCCAAGTCCACCCTAATGGAGCTTCTTTGCCCATCTTAAAGTCCTACCTTGTCTCTGTAAGATGCTTCTAAAAGCTTTCGATACTATTGTATTTTTCTACAGATAAACTATACTGACAGTACAGTGATTATTTCTTGTGAACCCTCCATGAATGCCCCAGGTTAACAAATCCTTCTGCCTGACTTTAGTAAACTAAGGGAATATGCAAAGGAAACAGAACTTACTCTTCTCTGGCTGTAATCCAGCACAACTTATTGTTTTTATCATGTTTCAAAATGTCCATTAGAGTCTCCCTTGATGAATTTTTATAAATAGTTCCTAAGAAATTACACAAGAATGATCTCTTATCATGCAACAATGACCAACTAGGTTCCACCACAGGAAAATTTCTGTATCTATAAAAATAAACATACAAATTAGTGCATAATATATCATACCATCTTGCATTTCAAAATAGGAATGAAATGTAGATTGAAAGATTAGGAATTATTTTTGTACATAATCTGAATTGTCATTTCTTACAAACCAAATGTTGACAAATCATCTTAAACAAATTACTCATGTTTGTGAATATTAATATTCATTATGTTAATTATTATATTATATGAATCTCTAATATATTTTGTATTATATATTATATATGTTAATGACAGCTATTTCTATATTAGAAAGATTATCTACCTAAGGTGCATCCTATATTTCCCTTTTATACTTCCCATTACTAATCTACATTTGTTGTGTAGGTCACATTCAAAGCTTTGCAACAATGACTTGTGTGTAATCCCAGCATGCTTCCTGGTAGGGAGGCTTAGAGGGCAACTAGGCCAAACTTTTGTATACAAGGACTCCCTTTTCAGGTTTCACAATACTCCACAGTAGTTGTACTGTGAGTATCTGTAAATTAAAAGTACATTATCGGGGTAGCTAGGTGGCGCTGTGGATAGAGCACTGGCCCTGAAGTCAGGAGGACCTGAGTTCAAATCCGGCCTCACACCAAACACTTGACACTTACTAGGTGTGTGACCCTAGGCAAGTCACTTAAGCCCAACTGCCTAAAAGCAAAAATAAAAAAAAGTACATTATCATAAAAAGTTGGTATGAATTCGTGAACACTTTTAAATTAACTTGTAGTCTGTTAATCACAATGGCATTTGAAAAATAGTAATATCTATACACTTGACATTATTCAGTCAATAGAAGGCGTTTTGCTTCTTACACTATGTCAAACTGAGTATTTTTTTGGAGCTAAATAAAGAAAAGCAATGATAGTGCATGGGTGCACAGAGATTTGTAATAATGATAGTGGATGCCTGTGGATTGGGGTCCACCAGTTGGGAATCACTGGTCCAGACCAACTCTTTCAATTTACAGATGAGGAAACTGAGTATTAGAGAGGTTAAGTGACCTGCCTACGGTCAAAGAACTAGAAACAGAGTAGAAAGAAGAAACAGATTTCCAGACCAGTGTTATTTCTACCACATTGCCTCTCCAAATGATAAAAAACAATTCTTTCTGCTAGTTAATCTAGTTTTCAAAAATTGCTATTAACAATAACAACAACAAAAACTATATAAGATGGCTTTCAGATTGACTCCTTACCCTTCCAGAAAATATAATAGAAACCTGTTGCATATTTCTAACGTGGATTAGGATAAACCAGAGACAAATCATATTTTTTAAAACCTAAAAAGTCTGGTGTAATATGATTAATCTATAAGGAGAATGCCAGCACTATCTTACATGACTGGTTACCAGGAGGCCCCATGTTATAATATACTAATACCTACCATACTAATATACTCTCTTACTATTGTGTTTTATTAATTATATTGTATTAGATTTAAAATTTTTTAAAATATTTTACTTAAAGTTTTGAGTTCCAATTTCTATTCATCCTTCCCTTCCCTGAGATGGTAAGCAATCAGATATACATTATACATGTGCT